TGTACCCAGGTGTCCAGACCCCTGAACCCCTGAGTAACAGACACCGCAGGTGACGATAAAGTCAGAGGAAAGCAGGCCCTGGCACAGGACAGTATCATCCAGTGGGTGGGACACAGCAATGCAGGCCTAAGGCAGCCCTCTATGTGACCTTGATGAGGAGGTGGGCAAAAGAAGAATGCATCTTAGCATGAGTCAGAGTGACCCGGGGCTCCAGGCCATTTGGAAAGGGCCTCATTTACCTCCTCTGCTTCCTTACCAGCCCCGAAAACACTTCTTCCTGCTCTGGTGTTGTCTGTTCAGCTCCACTCCCTGTACCTGCTCCTGGTGCAGGAGGTGGGCAAAAGAAGAATGCATCTTAGCATGAGTCAGAGTGACCCGGGGCCCCAGGCCATTTGGAAAGGGACTCATCTACCTCCTCTGCTTCCTTACCAGCCCCGAAAACACTTCTTCCTGCCCTGGTGTTGTCTGCTCAGCTCCACTCCCTGTGCCTGCTCCTGGTGCAATCTATCCCTCCAGCGACACCCCAGGCCCTGGCTGGGAGACCTACAGGCCAACTGCACACATGCAGAGCTCCCATTCGGGTCCTGGCCCATCTTCACCGAGCAGGACAGACACTGCTCTTCAACCCATTTTGCAAAGGAGACTGAGGCCCAAAGTTGCTAGAAAACTGGGTGTTAACAATGCACTTGCATATACCCAGATTCTGTCTTTGCTGTCCTCGACCCTTCCACTAGTCAGGGGATACTAACATTCTAATGGGGGGCCACAGAGGAGGAGACAGGCATCTAGAACAGAATGGGGGCTGGAGAGATGGCTCAGTGGCTAAAACCCCTAGCTGCTCTTACAGGGGACTCCGGTTCAATTCCCAGCGCCCACATGGTGGTTAATACTCATCAATAACTCCAGTTCCAGGGGACCTCCTTCTTCTGGCCTCACTGCACTCATGCGTGCACTTACACACAAGCAGGCAAAGTACTCATACACATGAAATAAGAAAATATATTTTAAAGTTTTTTAGAATGGCAGGTGACATTGGGGTTGGCCAGTTGACTGAGTAAAGATGCTTGCTTGTCAAGTCTGAAGACCTGAGTTCAATCTCTAGGATTCACGTGGTGGAGAGAACCAACTCCTCTGACCTCCACGTGTACTCCATAGCATGGGCAAACCCACACATATACACACCCATACACATTAAATAGACAAAATTTTATATATATAATTAGTAACAGTGATCACAAGAACAGGAGCTACTGGGTCAGGCAGGTGCCATGAACTAAGCACAGGCTGAGAGGTTTGCCACTCAACAGAGATCAAGGCACAGGTAGTCATCAGCTAGACTACCAGAACCAGGGATTGATGTTCCCAGAGCTCAGTGTCAGGACTCTGGCTCAAGAGCCTGTGAATGCTGCAAGTCTTGCAGAAATGCTACTTTGAAATGTCATGAGCACCGTCCATGTGTACAGGTGACCTGGTCATGTCTGATGTGTTGGCAGTGGGGGAGGGAGGGTGGATGGAAATAAGCCAGAAGGGCCCCTCATCTGACCTTCAGAGCCTGGATAAGCAACCTCCATGCCTATCCCCCTGATGCCCAGGTAACTTGGGGGACAGGAATGGAATGGGTGTGACATGCAGCCAGACATTGTAACCACCCCAGGGAGCTTTCTGGGCAGTGAGGAGTGGACTGTCAGGGAGCCATTGCATCCAGCTCAGACTCTGTGAAAGCCAGTATTTTACCATCTCTGATGAAAGACTTGTGTGTGGATTTTGGTATCTGAAGGCCATCATGGAATGAAGTCCCACAAGTACCAAGAGACAAGTATGAATCAAAACCTGAAGTTTCAGGGCTGGAGAGATGGCTCAGAGGTTAAGAGCACTGACTGCTCTTGCAGAGGACCTGGGTTCGATTCCCAGCACCCACAGGAGAGCTATGAACTGTCCTTAATTCCAGTTCCAGGGGAATCCGAAGCCCTCTTCTGACCTCCTCAGCATTGCACGACATGGGTGCACTCACATACATGCAGGCACTACACTCATACACATAAAATTTAAAAAATATTTAAAAAAAAAAAACCTGAAGTTTCTGACAAGATACCCATGGTAAGCTGGATGCCCAAAGATAGCTACATCCTTATCTCTGGAACCTGTGAGCCTTTCCTCATTACCAAGAGGAATTCATTGGATGTAAGATGCCAAGTTTGCCCTGGGTTTCGTGTAAGCACAAGGGTATTCGGAAGACAGAAAGGGAGGCAGGAGAGCACCCTGACAACAGAGGCAGAGGCAGAGGTAGAAAAGACAACATGGCATGGCGTCATCAGCCCAGACAACCGGGAAAGGTGGGCGGGCAAGATGGTTCAGGGGATAAAGGCTCTTGCCACCAAGCTGGATGACCTGAGTTCAATCCCCAGGACCCACACCATGGGAGGGGAGAACTGACTCCTGCAAGTTGTCCTTTGACTTTCATACATGAGCATAGCACATGCACCCATACAACTATGTGCACACACATAAACAAATGAAAAATTTTAAATATTAAGAAAGGGGGCTGAAGAGATGGCTCAGTAATTAAGAGTACTGGCTGCTCTTACAGAGGACCTGGATTCAGCTCCCAGAACCCACATGGCAGCTCACAATGTCTGTAACTCCACTTCCAGGGGCTTCGTTGCCCTCTTATGGCCTCTGTGTGTAAGACACCCAAGCACTTAACATGCAAGCAAAACATGAAAAAATAAATGACTCAAAATATTTTAATTGTTTAATATTAAGGGAGGGAGGAAGGGAGGAAGGGAGGAAGGGCTGGTTTGTTTCTCCCCTGGAACCTCCAGATCAGCCCTGCCCATACCCTGGCCTTAGCCATTTAAGGCTCATTTCAAGCATCTGAATGCATTAGAGAATTAAATGTGTCATTTTAAATCACTGTGCTAAAACACAAGTGGAAAACAAATCAGTTTCTAGAAAGCCAACACAGAGTCCTAGGAAAACAAATCAGTTTCTAGAAATCCAACACAAGAGTCCTAGGCAAAAATAAACTACAAGCAACAGAAATGAAGAAAACATTCGCAGTATAGTTAACAAAAGGTATTCTAATAATGTACAGCACTTATTTTTTAAATTTAATAGCGTTGCTGCATGCCAAGCACCGATCTATTATTAATTCACTCCATCCTTGTAACTCTGAGGTAAATGTTACTAATGTCATTTTACATCTGAGGAAATCAAGGCTTTGAAGTTCAATTAACTTTGCACTCAACAGAAAAATGCTAAAATTTACATCAAATGGGCATTAACTAGAGTCTTTTACAAAGTAGACACAAAGCCAGAAGTCTCAAGAGACTCACTGGCAGCTGGGGGGACGGGTGCCCAGGAATGAAGGGAGGAAAGGACGGAGGAGGCTTTATGTCCTTTGTAGCTCATGATGCTGAGCATCTTTTGAAATGCTCTCAGCACATGTTCAGTGAAGTTCCTATTCAAACCTTTTACGTTTTTGAGTTGTTTTCTTGAGTTTTGAGACTTCATATATTCTGGATGCATGTCATTTACCATATTGCTCTGCAAATCTTTTCTAATACGTGGCTTGTGGTTTCATTCTCACTACGCTGTCCACAGAAGATTTTCATTTGGAAAACTAGTTTACCAATTTTCTTTGGAGACTGGCTTTTTAAATTTTTTAACTGAATTTTTGCAATTTTCATACAATATACTTTGATGGTATTTAGATCCCCTCCCCTATCCACACCTCCTCTTACTGCCCCCTGCCCAATTTAATGTACTTTATTATAAATATAATAAGGCCTATAGAGTCTAATTTGTTGTCCCCAAATGTCCTTCAGTGCAGGTCAATCCACTGGAGCCAGGTTAACCCACCAAGAATCTGTCCTTGCAAGAGACTGTTTCTCTGCCTCCCAGCAGCAATCAGGTACCAAAATTTCCTTAGGTTGGGTTAGGGTTTCTTACCCGCTTCCCCATGTTTATGCTGGGATTTTGGAAAACTGCATTTTGTGTGTGTGTGTGTGTGTGTGTGTGTGTGTGTGTGTGTGTGTGTCTAAATCCTTGGTCACAAGGGTTTTCTCCTTTTCTTAGAAGTTTTGTAGTTTTACATTAGAACTATGGTACATTTTTTTAAGTTTTGTGTGTAAAGAAGAGATCGAAGTTTACTTTTTAAAGATACACTGGTATCTAATTTTGCATCATTATTTGAACAGGACATCTTTGTCTCCATCACTCTGCCCTCACATCTTTTTTATAAATCAGTTATTCATAGCTAGGGATGGAGGTCTACACCTATAATCCCAGCATTGAGAGGCGGAGGCAGGAAGATCATGAGTTCAAGGCCAGCATGGACTGCACAGTAAGATCCTATCTTTCTGTGTATGGGTAGGTGGGTATTTGTGGGCTCAACTCCTCCTAGTCTGTGTATTTATCTTGATGTTCTCCTAAATACCTGCAGCAATACAGTAAGACTTGGTGTAATGTCAGTCCCTCAATTCTAATTCTTAACTGCTGAGCTGTGTCTCTAGCCCAACTGTCATTCTTACCAGGTTCTTTGAATTGTTTCAGATCCTGTGCTTTTCCATATGAATTTTAGTGAACATGTCAACTTCTAGAAGATTCCACCAGGGGGAGAGGTGGGGTTGACACGACCTGAAGCCAAACAACTGCTGCACTGTTTTGACTGTGCTATTCCAATTTGGGAAATGACTCTGCCATCAACATGGAGCTCAGAGTCATGTAATAAAAAGATAATGAGAAAAATAACAAACACATCCACTCTCAGTACCAGTAGGCTCTTTAGATTAAACGAACATTATTTCTCAATAAGTTAAAAACTTCAACAAAGCCGGGCGTGGTGGCGCACGCCTTTAATCGCAGCACTTGGGAGACAGAGGCAGGTGGATCTCTGTGAGTTCAAGGCCAGCCTGGTCTACGTCGTGAGTTCCAGGACAGCGGGGGCTACAGAGAGACCCTGTCTCAAAAAGACCAAAAAAATAAATAAATAAAAAAACTTCAACAAAAACACGTTTATATTTTATTTACTGACCTCTCTGAAACAAGCCAAACTTCTTACAATTAACAGAATTTCCATGCTGCAGTGCGGTTCAACACGACAAACCATCGGATTACAAATATAGGCTGAACGTGAAGCAGTGTATTTCTGGTTTACTAGAAAACCTAGCAGTTTGACAGGCATGCTTGGTCCAGTCTGAATAATCCTCAGTTCCGAGACACACAGGTGAGAAAGCAGAGTAATTGTTCTTACTGTGGTGGTTCCCATCATCACCGCTGTTTGTGCAGTCACATAATCACATTGGTTTTGGTCACTGAAAGCCAGAATTAAGTCATTCACTGCTCCACAAGCTGATAACACTACAAATCCCTTACATTCAAAAATACAGTTAAGTCTGGAAAGAAAGGTAAAGCAGACTTGTCATTCACAATTTGGGACTACACGTAACCAGGCACACTACAGAGCAGTCAATTCTAGCTATCATTATTGTTTATTAATGGCACAAATTTTATGCTCCAAAAGAAATATACTAATCCAACAAAATGGTTACGTTTCATTTCCTCTTAAATAATGAAAAAAAAAGAAACCCTAGCTTTCTTGTTATTTCATCTTCAAATTACTGACACAAATCTATCAGAAAAATAATTATTTGTCCAACATCAAATAATCTGTGAAAAGTTTCTAAGGTATTCATTTAATTTCCAAAAATCAAGGTTTCCAAACTGAAAGCATTTGTATTGCTAGATCCCTAAAGCAAACACTGAAGAGTAAACACTGAGTCTCTCTGCTTTTGAATAGCTCAGTTACATAAAGTATTTTTTTCCCAACACTTTCTCAAACTCAAAAGCTATTTACTTCCTAATAACATGACAAACAGTCTTCATTTCAAACCACTCATTCTGTCTCCATGGTGACACTGCGGGATTCTTTGGCCACCATAAGTCGCATTAGTTGACTGTGGAATTTTTCAATCTTCTTTACATCTTGAGCTTGGTCTGTTCTATACACCAAACACTGTCAGAAAATTTAAAAGTACACATTAAGTAAAACCAGAAATGGGCAATGTAGAAATCAAAGAGCTGGCCAAATATCTGGGAGTCTTTTCTACCTTTACTTTGCTCTACTCTCTCCTCTCTTTTGAAGTCATACTGAGCACTCACTAATTATTCCTTACATTATTTTAGCTGGCCTCGATCTCAGAGATCTGCCTGCCTCTGCCTCCTCCCAAGTGCTAGTATTAAAGGTATGCACTACCATGCCTGGCTCTTCTTACATTATCAAATGCCACTACTGCAAATGAAAATTTAAACAAACTCCTCTCAAAAAAGACAATGTGTTAAATCCTGTTGT